AAGAGAAAATGCACTCCAAGAATGGGGTGGAAGAATTGATGATGAACTAAGATCTACCCAAGGTATTATACCATTTGGTTTAAAATTGTTTGATACATCTAAGTAATAAAATTCTTTTGATTGTGTGGCCATTTGATTTGGTGTGTTAAAAAAGTCTACAACACTCTTCCAAATTGTTGCATTTGGTATCACACCACCTGTATAATATATTTTAGAGCCAACAAGTGCATTATTCTGCCCCCAGACTGTATTATTAGGCGTAAATGCCAAAATTAACTTTAGAAATTCATTGAAATATATAATATAGATATAAAGCCTAATTTTGTTTAAACTTGACATTACATTCCTTGCTCTTCAAGACGTGAAGATTGTTACAGTATTGTGTGATGCTAGAAAACATTTAAATTATTCACAATGTTGCACATAATAACCATATTTAAACATTCATTCATTATTATTGTTAATACAACAAGACTTTTTAATATCCTACCATTGAGATGCTTTCTAGTAATTAGTTGCTTATGACGACATATTTCTCTCAATTAAAAGATTTTGGATAATTATATAACTTAAATATAGGCTTAATGCCGACCTGAATTATAATGCAATTGATCTGCATTAAGGTTAAAATTTTGATAATATAAAATTACAATTAATGAACCCTAATTACGGGCAAGATCGTGCTATTTTTTTTTTGTTTAATATCTATATAAGGTTGTATTCAGGGTTGTCACGTTTATATGTTTTTTCTATTGGCTTATAATTCTATTCATTTGTTTTTTATTTTTCTATTGTAAATTTTGAGTATTAAATTTTACTAATTAAATATAAAAATATTTTAAATTTATTACTATACTAATGCTCTAACAATATATGTTTAAATAATTGCAAATTATTAATAAAAAAATTTTTTTATATAAAGACAAAAAATTAAGCTTTGGTTCTATTGTTCTATTTGCCAACACTAGCTGGATTATAAAATTAGTATATAAATCTAAAAATATGTAAATTTTGTGCAAAATATAAAGGAGGCATGCCTATTTTGATGCAGCTAATGTGTTTGATAAATATCACATGATATATCAATCAGAGCTAGATAATTTTAGTATTATTTGATTCATCTCATCGAGATTAATCGAATGGTACCAAAATCATCCAATTCTAATTATTAAATTATGAGATATTATTTATTAAAGGTTGTTTAAAAAATATGTTCCTAATTTGATGTAGTGTTTAATTTAATGTATGTATAATGTTTATTATAAATGTTATGGGATATATCAATCAGAATTGCAAGATTTTGGTACCATTCGATTTGTCTCAATGAAATAAATTGAATAGTATCAAAATCTTGCAATTCTGATTGATATATTATATGATATTTATTGTAAATATTTACTTGCATCAAACTAGATATATCTACCTTAGACTATTTTGGTTAATAGAATATCTCAAAAACTATCAATTAGAATCACATGATTTTGGTACTATTTGATTTGTCTCAATGAGACAAATTGAATAATACCAGAATCATGTGATTTTGATTGATAATAGTTCTCAAGATATTGTCATATATCAAATTAGATATTGCCAAATTAGGTATACCTCCTTTATATATAATTTTATATAAATAATTTTAAAAAGAGAATATCTATTTCCACTATGGTATTTTGCTATTTTCACTATAGTTATACAAAATTACTATTTTTAGCATTTAATATAGAAAATATAATAATATAAAAAATTAATTTTTTTAAAATTAAAGAAGTTTTTTATTAAATTAGAGTTTGTTAGATTTCTAAGTAAAGTTATAGAAAAAATTTTTCTGGTTTTAATGATAGTTAAATCATTAAAATCGGCTTTATAGATCCTAAGATACTTAAAGTTAAAGATACAAACATAAGAATTTAATATAAAAAATCAATTTTTTTAAAATTAAAGAAGTTTTTATTAAGTTAGAGTTTGTTGGGCTTCTAAATAAAGTTGTAGAAGAGATTTTTCTAGTTCTAATAGTAGTTAGATTATTAAAATTAATTTTGTAAATTTCAAGATATTTAGAGTTAAAGACATAAATATAAAAATCTGCAAATTGGTAGTTATACAAAGTATTATCCCTTAAACTGTAGGCTTTTTTAGACAAATTTGCCTATAAAACAGTTTAGAAAAAGAAATACAAGGGCAAAAAGACTGTCTGCAAAGTGAAAAGAAAGATATAAACCAATAAAGAAAATACAAGCTCAATAGTACAATAATGTTAATAAAGAGATCTCAAATGCAGAATGGGTAAAAGTATTAGTACAAACTAAGAATACATCAGCACTAGACCTAATAGGCATAATATATCTACTGATTAAACATACAAATAAGCAAACAAGAAAAGCCTTTAGAATCCTGACAAACAGGTGCTTTGAAATAGTATCAATGCCAAAAAAATGAAAGTTAGAGATGCTATACCCAATACCAAAACAGGAGTATCAAAACTATAATCTTAAAAATGTCAGACCAATTCTACTATTTGAAATATTTAGAAAAACAATAGTAAGAATCCTAAACAACAGACTAGAAAGTATACTAAAAAAGAAAAAAGTTCTTGAAGAAAGAAACTATACAGGCTTACCAGAAGAAGGCATAGCAAAGCCAATTCATATCATAAACAGCATTACAGAAAATGCAAAAGAGAATAAAAAGAAGTTATAGTTGCTGTTCCAAGATATAAAAAAAGTATTCAGCTTAGTTGAGCATAGAAATACTTAAGCTAGTATTGAGAAGGATCAAGCTATCTAAAAACATAAAAGACTTTATAATTAACCTATATGAGAATAAAGAAATAGAAGTAATTACAGAAGTAGAAGTAATCTAAAAATTTATAGCTAAGGATAGTATAGATCAAAGGGAAATTATCTCACCACTAATATAGAAGATCTTATACAACCCTCTATTAGTCCAGATACAAGCAGCAAAAGAAGTAAGTTATGAAATAGAGATAGTATGGCCCAAAAATATCAAGTACAATGAAGTTGAAAGACAAAATATAAAGATCCCAGTATTGGCATATACAGATGATATAATGTACATAGCAAGAAGTCAAGAAGAAATGGAGAAAATCATATATATAGTGAAAGAATTCTTCGAAATTAATGATATTAAGATTAATACAAAGAAATTAGAATTATTAATAATATTCCAAAGACAAGACCAATGCAGATAAGGATATAAAATTTAACCTAAAAGAAGAAACAGTCCCAAGAAGAAGTTCAAAAGAATTGACAAGATACTTAGAAATATAGGTATCAGAGAAGACCAAACAAAAGTATATAGA